ATTGTCCAGAAAGTTATATAAGAAATTGAATCTCAAGACAAACTCGACATACTCACAGCTACACACTCGAACCTTACTTCGCACGTACTAATCTTTCATGAACTCGTTCTTTCCTCAGACGATCATTGATTGGAACGCGTTATCTTTTGAAGCATTCTGTGATAATGGAAATCCTGACTTTGTAAACTATGTATCTTTCCGTTTTTATCCACACAACTCAAGATCTCGGACTGTCTCACGTTGTATTTGATTTTCGTTCTCCGGTTGCGATTTGCAATTCCTTGCTGTCATTTGACTTTGTTCAAATGTTATCCTGTGTTCTACTGCCTTAACATGTTTTATTGCTTGAACTTTCTGTTTATTTAGGTTACATTGTGAATCACTTTTTATTATGCCCCCTGTTTGTTCTTTTGGCCGCAGTATTCTGTAAATAAAATAAATAAATAAATAACTGTCCAGCCATTCTTCGGCATCTTCGCCACGAAGGCCGGAAAATACCGGAGGCTCTCGGTGAGAGGTACTCACAGTGTATTGAAGCCTAAGTGGCTGAGAAGGAGCGGTTGCAGCAGCGGACGCGTTGGGTTCTGCCATCGCTGTTGCTTGAGCGCACAACCGTCGACCAGATTGAAGCTCCAGGGGTGACGGGTAGAGCAGGAGGATGTGCAAACCAAAGCACGCTCCACCACTTATGAGACCACGTCCGGTATGGTAGTAACCAGGCTATATTTTCTAGCTAGATGCACGAGCCAAAGAGGCTCAGGCCCCGTGACATACGATGAAGATCACTGCAATGGCTTGTAGTGCTGGTGGTTGCTGCTTGCTATCAAAGAGCAAGCAGCAACCACCAGCAGCCAACAGCAGGCGTCTACAGGCAAGCTCGTCACGGGAGGCACAACGGGATGGAGCTCCAACCCAAACCAGGTACGACCTCCGGGTACCTTGCGGCTCTATTCGCCGCGTCTGTGCAAAGTGACATACTGGCTGTGCGAGTGGGCAAACACCGTCCGTTTCAGATGAACTAGGCCATAGAATGGGTCCGAATTTTCTTAAACTTAGAAAAGTTATTGACGAAAGAATACGGCATGAACTTCACGTGCAAAACCTCGAAAAATATGTACTGGCGGGTACGGCTCCGAAGGGGCTGCGCTTGTCGATAACACCATCGATGCATAACTTTGTCGAAGGGGAAATGAAACGGTTGAACGAAATTCTCGATCACGCCACACAGGAGCTAACTAAGGTCACCATCGAACACTGTAGAAAGACTCTAAACGCACTGACAGACGAGGAGCGGTATATAAGAAATAACTTTTATCTTTCAGGGTGGGAAGCTAAAGAACTCGACGTATTTGAGCACGAAAAAACGGAGGAAATTGAAAAACTTAAGGGGAAGAAATTTCCGCGGGACAATGTGTCACAAGCTATACCCACTGCTGCTTACAGAAAAAATACCAAACCATCTCACGTTCAAAAAAATTTGCCACCACACCCCAAAGAGCCAAACGTTATTAACCTTTCCGATAAAGAACTTAGCAAAGAAGAACTGAGTATACTATCACGCGGACTTACATTCTGCTCTGGCAACGGAAGGTACTATGAATTCACGCTCCTAAAAGACCTAGGCAACTTCGCACGAAATTTACGATTGGAGGAATATTTCTTTGATAAACCCGAAAAGGATAACGTACTTTTTCGTGGGGTAATCGGACGGCAATGGACCCCAGACGCCAACAGAGATCGACATCTGGATCTCTATATAGACGCGGTTCAAAAAGATGTTATACATGCGTACAAGGTGCACAAACCAAGCATGAATAACATATCAAAAACAGAAAAAGAGGTACTACTCTCGTTGAGCAACTGCGAAGATCTCGTCATTAAACCAGCAGATAAAGGAGGTGCGATTGTTGTTCTGAATAGATCGCACAACATTGAGGAAGGCAAACGACAACTAAATAACAAACAATTCTACAAACGCCTCGACTTTACCCTACCACGGAGCACAAAAAGATCACTGTAATAACCCTAGAGGATTTACACGTGAAGGCGCCATTGATTCAAAGCTTAAAAAGTCACTCATTACGGTACATTCGGCGCCTGGTCATTTTTACATACTGCCGGAGATTCATAAAGAGAATAACCCTGGCAGACCCATTATATCAGGCACGGGAACGTTAACGGAACCCATTTCCAGTTATATTGATTCTTTAATCAAAGACATACCACCCACACATGAGCCCTTTTTGCGTGACACAAACCATTTCCTTCCGGAAATAGCAGACGTGAAAATTCCAGACGGTGCATTTCTCGTAACATTGGATGTTAGCTCACTCTACACAAATATCCCACATGACGATGGTGTAAGGACGCATGTTGAATCGTATGGCACACACAACCCTGTCGCTTATCCAAGCAAAAAAGTAATTGAAATCTTCACAAGACTAGCACTCGAATTGAACAGCTTTGAATTTACCAACCAGTACTACCTTCAAATCAGCGGCACGGCAATGGGTACAAGAATGGCCCCAAACTACGCTAACATATTCATGCACCACATAGAGTCCAATTTTCTTCCATCTTGTGATATCAAACCATTATTGTATAAACGGTACCTAGATGATATATTCATAATTTGGACACATTCGGAAAATGAGCTCCTCAAATTCATACAGGCATTCAACCAGGTACACCCCTGCATTTATTTTACACACTCCTACTCTAACACTGAAATAAACTTTCTTGATATACTCATTCGAGTTGACCATGGTGCGTTGGTAACTAGCGTATCCAGAAAACCTACGGACAGGCAACAATACCTGCACTTCAAAAGCTGCCACCCGCAACATTGCAAGACCAGCATTCCCTATTCCCAAGCACACACATTCCGACGAATCTGCTCCCGCACCGAGGACTTTCACAAAAACAGCACACATATGCGCGAAGTACTGTTTAATCAAGAATACCCGCCAGCTATCATTGATGACGCCATCAAAAAAGCTGAAAATGTGGACCGCCAGATTCTTCTCAACCACAGGAAAAATGCCGACCAACACCGCAACAAAAACTTGCTATTAACTTTGACGAGCAACCCACCGAACATAAAGAACCTACAAAGAAAACACTTTAACATATTGGAACAGAGCGTGCGACTATCCAAACACTTCTCCTCCTTGTGTTGTATACAGACGGCTGAAAAATATAAAGGATCATTTAATAAATTCAAAGATAGGTGTGAAATCTCAAACTGGTTGTCACCCTTGCGGACAAAGCAGATGCAAGGTATGCAAACACATGCAGACAACGACAGTGGCGAAAAGCACCCACTCCGATTTTAAGCACAGGACAAGAGGTGCACTAGACTGTGACTCAGACAACGTCGTATACCTCCTTGGAATGTGGGGTATGTAACAAGCAATACGTGGGCTAGACAGACGCTCTGTTTAGAATTAGTTTCAAGCCCAATCGGGCACATGTACGATCTCTGCCAGGCCTTCCACTTTCAAAAGACTGCACATTAAAAGACCGCAGCTTTGAAGACATCAGGGTTACACTACTAGAAAACAACTTTTGAACAATCAGAGAGTGGGAACAACGGGAATCTTATTTTATCTACAAATTTAACACGATAAAATACGGAATAAATGAACACCCAGGCACTCTGTCAGCGTTACGACCGCTAAAAGCCGCAAACACTTCTCTCTAATTAGTCCAGTTTCATTACGACAATAATATTACCCGCTAACAAAGCTTTTAGCCTATGCATCTGACAACATAGAAATGATTTGTCTCATTAAGCACAGCCGGTACGCACAGATAAGTTGTCCCGGATGTCGTACGGTCCCCCCTTTTTCTTTTCTTTTCTTCTTTAAGTTTTAACGCACATTCTGTTCCTTCACTGACAAGAAGCTGACAGCTAGGTGGTTTCGTGAACTTTTTCATACATGCGCGCATGTCTTCCCAGTGAGCCGCAACTGTGTGGTGACTGTTCCGGATGTCGTACAGTCCCCCCCCCCCCTGTTCTTTTTTTCTTCTTTAATTTTTAACGCACATTCTGTTCCTTCACAGGCAAGGAGCCATTGAATATAACAAATATCAATGGCGGCGCCTCAATCACCGGCTTTTTCATTCCTCCCAACGCCAACAGCACACACCCGAAGCGCTTAAGCTCTCCCCAATAACTTGTCTTAAACTTCAGAGAGAAAGGAGCCGCCAGCGGACTACACGGAAAGGTGAAATACAAGGACGGTGGCCCACTGCCCACTTGGCGAAGAGTGGGTGCGGGGGAGGTATTGTTGACAATGATGACAATGCTCATCTACCTCTGCCCTACTCTGTTGAGATGCTGCCCCTTTCTAAGTACGCCGTGTCGGTCTTGCTTCTTCTCCTAGATTTTCTATATTTTATTTATTGTTTCTCCTCCGTTTCGCTGTTTCTTGTTCTTTTCTCTCTCTCTTTTCTTTTTTTCTTTTTTACTTCTCTTTTGACCCCTTCCCTTCTGTCTCGACAGGCTATAAGAAGTCACGGAACATGTGAAAATATTATTATGCCTTGAAAAAAACGGGGTTCCCGTCGAAACGTCGGCACTAATAAACAGTTATGTGAAAGCGCATCTACTTTCATATATATAACCTTACGGCAACCGAAGTTATTCTTCTGCATACATATATATATATATATATATATATATATATATATATTATATATATGAGAGAGAGAGAGAGGTGAAAACAGAACACGATCAGTAGAGAGTTAAGACATAAATATATAGAGTAACAAACAACGGTCAGATTGCCTGCAGTTGCCCAAGAAATACTTGGCATTCAGTTTTACCGCTCACTAGCATTATCGCAGAGCTCCCGATGTTGCGTGGTTCCGTTTGGTTCGACGAGTCTGTAGGTATGTACGTATGCCTACAAGGGGCACACATCTCTTAGTTAGTAGAGAAATAACGTTTGAGGAGTAATAAAAGTTAAACCAGAAAAATCTGCATCATTACTTGCCTTCGTCGACAGATGTGAACTTCCTTGCACGCCTCGTACTATTCGAAATTTCATCAAAGAGTGGTGTGTACGACGCATTCATACTATGCCTATTGTAAGAAAAAAGGTTGAACATAAATTGATGCAGTAAAACGTCGTTTTTACGAAACGTCTAAGGAATGACTAACAGCAAGAAACTGGATTATTATAGGTGAATGTAGCAGCTCACCCTCTAGCTTCTGGACTCGCTTAAAAAACGCTGCTTCAATATGGGTGTCACGTATAAATAGCGGGAAAACGACGGCACGTACCGCCAAGCACTGGGAGACGAGTGAGAGCGCGGGAACACGTGGCTCACTCATAGTGTTCGGCCCAGGCGCTGTTCAATCGTAGGCTTAAGGACCGAGCGGGACATCCTGCCGGGCGAAGACTCCCTGCATGTACGGCTTGCCATGGAGTCAGTTGAGGTTCAGGGTGTCCGAGGGTGCGAGAATCCTGGGGCCAGGATTGGAGCCACTGGTTGAAGGATGGATCGCGTAGTGGTGCCTAGGCGAGCCGGGTGACGCGTTAGACTTGTACGTGGGCCACTGGCCCGTGATCTTCTGCACGCGATCTGTGCCTGGCGTAGCCTTGGTCGAGGTGAGGAACATTGTTGGTTGAGCTGTCACACCGCAGCCGTATTGAGCAGCATTCCAACTACGCACAGGTGGTACTGTGTTTGAGTGAACTCCCACGTGGAAACGCCCCGCCTTGGTGGGGATCGAGACATTTGAGGCCGCGCTGGTACAGGCCTCCCCTAGGCGCCCTTACCACTGTCTAGAAATCCTTGTGCCAGTCGTTAGATGATTTGTGCAGGGCGAGTTCGTGGTTACCACCCCCCCCCGCCCATGCGCTGCGATCACACCGAAATGTTGCATGTTTGAAAAAAAAAGACTCAAGGTCACATGGCGCGAGTGACGTTTTCGTTACCCTGTGCCATCTCTCTTTGCTTAGCTACGAGTGCTTTCGCCGGGACTAGAGAAACAAAAATGCAAATACAGCGTGGGGCAAATGTTTGCAAATCTACTTATGCTGGACGTAGTCTAGAAATTTTCGTAGAGGTAGATTTCTGAGGCACTAGACTCTTGGCTACATGAAAAATTGTTGCAGGGCCCCTTTACAATGTATCTCTTGTGCGTGGTTACTTTTTTGTAAAGGAAAAGTGTAGCGGATGTATTTCCTGCCGCGCAGTTTGGTTCAATATGGTATGTCACCAAGAAACTATCAATGTTCTCCTGAAATAAAAGGTGCAAGTCTGATGATTTCATTTCAACAGTTGCTTTGTCAAAACACATGTCATGGTCTTCACATTTCATTCTACCATGTTATTCCAAGCTGCATGGCTGAGGAGAGCGTGAATTTTTTTCTCGCCGTTCATTCCCAAGCACGTTAACAGAGAGGCAAAACGTATAACTGTCTGTTGCGCTTGTGCTCAATCGTTAATCAGCCAAGATTGACTTGTGCACCCGCTGAGTGCTGTAGCCACTATGCTCCGTGGTGGGTCTATTGGTCGTGTTTTGACGAGCGGATGCAGTCAGCTGATCTGGTAACACATTTTATTCAATCTCGCGGTGTCATTTTAGCCAGCACGCAACAACGCTCTGGTGAACTGTTTAAAGTGTAGAAACTCGCCATGGTAGTCAAATGGTCAAGGGACTCAGTTACTGGTCCGCAGGTTGCGGGATCGAATCCCGGCCACGACGGCTGCATTTTTGACGGAGTCGGAAGTGCTTGAGGCCCATGTGCTTACATTTAGGTGGACGCTAAAAAAACCCTAGAGACAAGAAATTTTCGGAGCCCTCCACTACATTGTTACCGATAATCAAATGGTGGTTTTGAAATGTTAAACCCCTAATATTGTTATTAAACCCCAGCAATTATTATTGCTATCGCAATTTCATTGGCACTATCCACTGGATTTTTCCACTGGCGCAGACGTCAACATCGGTGTCCCCGTTGGTCACCGTATGTGTATTCGTATCGATATGCATGTACACGCAAGAACGAGAAATACTCGCGGAAAATACTCCGGCACGCGGATTTATACGAGGGACTTCTGAACTGTGACTGCGAGGCATTCACCACTGAGCCAGGGAGGAGCTTTTTTTCTTTATTGTCTTCTTGACTGCAGGTCAAGTTAGTCTGACAATCACACATTACAGGTATTTTGGTTGTGTTATTGCATCAAACGAAAATACCGCATCTTCAACGTAGTCGGTAGTTTTATACAAATCTCGCACTTTTTTAACAGCTTCCCCGAAACACTCATGAACAGATATAACTCTTACATCACGGTGTCTGTACAATAGCATACTACAACAAACATATTGAAGACTAAATAAAAAAAATACTGTCCAAATGTTGCACAAAACTTTGACAAGGCAAAAGAAAACGTATTTGATGTGGAGTAAGAGGTTTTTTTAATTTTTCTGTTTAATGTCCAGAGAGAAAATGGCAAAGTTATTATCAATAAATACGTGTTATACTTTTTACACAGGCGACAGCTGCTACCCTGTGGTACATACATCCCTTTCTCGTAAATCCACGCTTTCACTGACAACATTCCCGTATGAATCTTGAGAAAGAAAGTTGTAACGTTGGGTGGTGTCCGCAAGTTCTTCACTTGTTTTAGAACGTCTTCTCTCAATAATTTCTCATACACTGAACGGTAAAAGGGCCACAGGAAGAAGATTCTGTATTGAGCCTTTCATAAGGCGTTTTCTTTTCCCTTTCGTTAGGCGATTCATCAAAGACCTTGCCCTTAAAAAAAAACTACATGAGAACACAACTTCGCGCGAAAACGGTGAAAAGGTGCGTGTCCTCCTGTAACTCAGGATACAAAAATGTCAGGATTGTTGTTTAATAACACTGTTTGTAAAACAAAGAACTTGAAAAAGCGTCTCAAAGACAGCTATCTTTGCTTAACACGCCGAAGCAAGTTCGTTCTAGAAGTCTCCTCCCATGTAGAGCTCCTGGTGAACGTGGCAAATATCCTGTGAATCTTATGGATGCTTTTACACGTACAACTAAGTGTTTGTAAAAGGTGCATAACTTTAGCAAGCAAAAGCATGTTACATACAGCTGACCAGGAAAAATTGATAAGCTAAGGCCGCCCCATCTTTGAGTTGCCTCACGCTGTTCCCCCACCTTTTCTAGCCAAAACACTTCACTGTCTTAAGCCCCAAGAAAGTCGCATGAAGAGGCCTCGCTGCGCCCAGGAAATGAAGCGAAAGGGTACATCACCAACTGGCATCGAAGACATGAATGCCGCTGAACAGCGGACAGAACTACTGGCAAATGGTATTTCTACCAAAAATCAAATCAGTATCAAAACTGCGCCAGATGCTTCAGAAGAATAGCAAAGCAGCTCAAAACTTGCGAACGAACCAGTGACTGGGAATGCCGCTGTCTCCTGGGATAATGACTTGACCAGTGACTACACGTGGGTGATCACAGCTGAGTGTCTTATTTTGAAAAAAAAAATGTTCAAGTTGCATGACAAACGTACAAGCTAATTTCACGTGGTGTTCAATTATTCACTGATGTTCTTAAAGCTTTTATAATAAATTTCTGTAACATAGCCTACACAGTAAAAATTTTTACACCCAAAAGGGTGTAAAAAGGGTGCTTTTACGAGAAAGCACCCTTTGTAACACCCTTTAACACCCATAAATGGTCGATTGAAAAAAAGGCACCCATTTGTTTGGGTGCTTGCCTCGATAGCACCCTAAAATAGGCTCTAAGGGTGCTTTTGTGCCTGAGAAGGGTGTAGGTGACGATTCATCAGATGGAATATGCAGCATAAGAAGAACACATAATTATAATATTTGGTATTTTACGTCTCAAAAACGTCGATATGATTATGAGGGTTGTCGTAGTGGAAAGCTCTAGAGATTTTGACCATTTGGTGTTCTTTAATGGGCGCTGATATCGCGCAGTGCACAGGCTTCTACTTTTTCGCCTCCATCTGAATTCGACTGCCACGGCCGGCATCGAACCCGCGACCTTCGGATTGGCGGCCGAGCAGCGTAGCTACTGCACGAGTATTGTACCTTGCGTTAAATGACGGCCTAATTGACTTAAATGTGTGAAGGTGCTCTCCGAATACTAGCAGAATGCCAGCAAAGCAAATCGCGTTTTCATGCTATAATGCAATTAACTGCAATCCCGTTACGAAAAGCTCACTTAGCGTGGGTTATCAGCTTACATGTTTGCTGTTGTTGTATACGGAACATTAATGTTCGCCCGATTATGGGTGTGTGTGCGTGAGCCTGCGCATGTGTTCGCGGTAAGCGCTATTGTGTGTACACCGTGCATGTGTGCGTGCCGCGTTTATTTTAGAGTCCGTGCTTTGTGTTACGTGCCTGTGCACATGTGTATGCCCATGCATGCGTGATTTCACGTCGCGTGTGTGTGTGGCCGTAGTGTGTATACGTGTATGGGTGTGCGCCTGTGAATTAGTATGCGGTGCATCAGCTCCGGGCGCCCAAATTTCGTGTGTGTGGTGCGGGGGGGCACGGCTTCTTAGTGTTGTAAGGTCCCACCCGGTTCAAAAAAAAAGACTCAAGGTCACATGGCGCGAGTGACGTTTTCGTTACCCTGTGCCATCTCTCTTTGCTTAGCTACGAGTGCTTTCGCCGGGACTAGAGAAACAAAATGCAAATACAGCGTGGGGCAAATGTTTGCAAATCTACTTATGCTGGACGTAGTCTAGAAATTTTCGTAGAGGTAGATTTCTGAGGCACTAGACTCTTGGCTACATGAAAAATTGTTGCAGGGCCCCTTTACAATGTATCTCTTGTGCGTGGTTACTTTTTGTAAAGGAAAAGTGTAGCGGATGTATTTCCTGCCGCGCAGTTTGGTTCAATGAGGTATGTCACCAAGAAACTATCAATGTTTTCTTGAAATAAAAGGTGCAAGTCTGATGATTTCATTTCAACAGTTGCTTTGTCAAAACACATGTCATGGTCTTCACATTTCATTCTACCATGTTATTCCAAGCTGCATGGCTGAGGAGAGCGTGAATTTTTTTCTCGCCGTTCATTCCCAAGCACGTTAACAGAGAGGCAAA